TCCTCCGGTCTTTCGGTACATTACCCGGTCGCCGGCGATCGCGGTTCGGGGGACTCCCAGGGAGCCCCCCGCGGCACCTCTGTCCTCCTGGAAGCCCCCCGGCCATGTGAGAGTGGGGTCCTTGCGAGGACCCCACAATCACATGGCCGGGGGTAGCTGGCTGCAGCACTGCCAGCAGGGGGGCTGCCTGTAATGACAGGTGGTCCCCCTGCTGGCTGAAAATAAAAATTAATAAAATAAATAGTGTAAAAAAGAAAATAATATATACTTAGATCATATATATTACATATATATGATCTAAGTATATATATATATATATACACATATACATACACACACGTACACCGTCTAGGTGTATTTTACTATTAATATATATATAATTATATATATATATATATATTAATATCAAATTACACGTAGACTGATACTGATTAAATATATATATAATTATTGTTATATATATATTTATATATAATATGAAAAAAAAAAATGTAAATACGTTAAAAAATAAAATTAAAAAAAATAATTAAAAATAAATAATTAAAAATATATAGATGTGTGTTATTTCGTTCTAACTGTATTGTGAAATTAATATATATATATATATATATATATATATATATATATATCAAAATGCACGAGAACAAAATAATATATATATCTATATATATAAATATATACGTATATATCACTATATATATATAAAAAATATTTTAAAAAATTATATAGATATATACATATATATACACATATATTCACATACGTATATATATATATACATATATTAATTCTACATATATATTTATGTAATATTTTTACATAATTAGGTATCTTAATTAATTACAATTAGCGGGACCTGCCTGACAACCCATGCCGAAAGTAAAGGGAATTTAATTTGCTAGCACTATATTTAACCCTATAATTTTCCGAGACACCATAAAACCTGTACATGGGGGGTACTGTTCTACTCGGGAGACTTCGCTGAACACAAATATTAGTGTTTCAAAACAGTAAAATGTATTACAACTATGATATCGCCAGTAACAGGGACGTTTTTTGCATTTTTCACACACAAACAGCATTACACGGACAATATTATTGCTGTGATACTTTTTACTGTTTTGAAACACAAATATTTGTGTTCAGTGAAGTCTCCCGAGTACAACGGTACCCCTCATGTACAGGTTTTATGGTGTTTTCAAAAGTTACAGCGTCAAATATAAGGCTTGCGTTTCATTTTTTTCCCATTAAAATTCGCCAGATTGGTTACGTTGCCTTTGAGACCCTATGGTAGCCCAAGAATGAAAATTACCCCTATGATGGCATACCTTTTGCAATAGTAGACAACCTAAGGTATTGCAAACAGGGTATGTCCAGTCTTTTTTAGTAGCCACTTAGTCACAAACACTGGCCAAAATTGGCATTTTTTGCATTTTTCACACAAACAGATACGAACGCTAACTTTGGCCAGTGTTTGTGACCAAATGGCTACTAAAAAAGACTTGACATACCCCATTTGCAATACCTTGGGTTGTCTACTATTGCAAATGGTATGCCATTATGGGTGTAAATTTCATTCCTGGGCTACTATACAGTCTCAAAGGCAACGTAACCAATCTGGCTAATTTCAATTTCAAATGTAACGTGCTATATTTGACCCTGTAACTTCCCAAAACGCCATAAAACCTGTACATAGGGGGTACTGTCTTACACGTGAGACTTTGCTGAATACAAATATGTGTATTTTATTGCAGTAAAAGCAAACAGTATTATGACATTGACCGTTAAAATGTCATGTAGAACTAAATAAATAAAAAAAAAATCGTATTTTCTCCCATTTTTTTCATATTAAATTATGTTTCATAGCTAAATATTTGATATTAAATGAAAGCCCTGTTTCCCCTGAATACAATTATATATAATAAGGGTGGGTGTATTCAATACGGTTGGACAGACATGTAGCGCAAATGCCAGGTTTTGTTTACATTTTGTTTTGTTCACAACGTGTACATTTGGCTCCGTCCTTAAGGGGTTAATGAAGTATATGTTAAAAAAATGAAAAAAAATTGAGATCCTTCAGCCATGTACATACACCTTGAGGTCTCTGTGGTCTTCACTGCCTGTATAGAAACAGGGAAGACCAGAGAGACTGACTGAACGTCAGTTTTCAAATGCTTTCTAAACCAAGGTGTATGTATATGGCTGAAGGATACTGTCATATCATAATGGTAGGGATGAGGTTTTTTTTTCCTTTGTTTTACACATACTTTTTTAAAATGAAAAAAAAACTATTTACTTTCAAAACTCAATGAAAGAATTATTATATTAAAAATAGTTTTGAGGTGACTTGTCCTTTAACAAACAAAAATGTGGTATAAAATACCTATTAGTGGAGCGCTAAGAAATAATTATATCTGGCCTGTGTAGGGGTACCTTAGCCTTACCAATTTTATGGGGATGGCCAGTTACTTAAAACCTTATGAATACCTAAAAATTGTAATCCCTTTTAGGTATTCATAAGGTTTCAGGTAACTAACAAAGGGGGATTTTAATAAGATTTTAGGTCAAAATTAAATGAGATGGATATTCAACCTTGGGACTTTGCAACCCCAAGGTTTGAATATTGATTTTTAACTATGCCATTTCCTATAGAATCCACATTTTTACACTATAAATTACCCACAATATCTTTATAACATTATTCCCCTTTAAATTTAGTACCATTTTTTTTATGTATCCCTTATTACTCTTGTGTATAGACACCTTAAAAAAAGACCAATGCTTCTCTTTCCCTGTTTTTTACTTAATAGTTCTTTATCCGATAGTTTTTTTATCAAATAATTATTTTATTTATTAGGTTTTAATATCCCTCCATAAAAGGTTTTATATGAAAAGTTTTTTTTTGTAAAATGGGTTTTAAAAATAGGGTTTTCTTTAAAAAAAAATCCCAATTGCCCCTTCTCACTGGGGAGTATACACTTCCTCCCCTCAAATCCAAAGAATATTGTGAATATTGTTTTTAAAATATTAATTTCTATTGTCAATATATCTAATTCATTGTACTTTCATTTGTAATACATCTCTCTAATTTATTTTTCTTCTTCTGAGTTCTTTTCCCTTCCTTTCTTATACCTCTATTCACCCTTATTCCCGGGGTGCCCACACTTAATATGGCGGAAACCGTTTCGGCCAGTGCTTGAAGGGTTTGGGATGACGCACACTATTATGGCGTCATTACGGCCACCCTACAGCTACGGCTGATAGAAAAACTCTCTAAGGTATCCTTCCGTTTAAACCAAGCCCACTAGGTGAGCCGGAGGTTGTCCTGATCGATGGGAGGCGCAATATCCGTTGAAAGGCTGGCGGGCATGACGAGCGGGAAGCGTCCGACAGTGGCGGGAGGATGTGACGAGCGGCTTAGCCTGCAATGTCACTTCCACCAACCACACATAGGACATGACACGCCCAGACGGGTACCACTGACTACCAATAGTAATGCTGGAATAAAAACCAGGAAAAACAATTACCCTATACAAGGTTTTTCACTTAGGTGAAAATAATTATCTGAAGGGAAGGTGTGCAATATGGACTTGGGATTGGACTAATCCACCACATGTGACCAAAGAAGGAGGATCTAGGAGATCCACAGGACATTTAAGACAGAAGATTCCTGAGGTTACATCACAGTGACTGAGGAAGCTCATGGATCAGTAAAATGCAGCAGATTTGGACTTTTTATTGGATTTTTTTTTTTTTTTCATAGCATTTACTATATATGTTTTAATTTGTAATACATTTTTATATTTTTCAAACAAAGTCCTCTGAAGCCTTAGAGAATCTTCATTGGGATGGGGCCATCACCAGAAAACTGGCACTCTGCTTGCTACCCTTAGAGACAGGATTTGAAGGCTCTAAACAAGGTGGGCTTAATATTTACCATTAGATTTAAGTTCACAACTGAAAGATACTACACATTGAGTGTTTCTCTTCTTATATCACCTCTGGAGAAGACAATACAGTGAGAGTGGTGTGTTGCTGCCCTAAGAGCAAAAAGGTTCATCCTACAGAGCCAATATTATATAGGCTCCAGAACATGTGAGTGGCTGTAGCTTTTTGTTTAATACTAGACTAGAACTTTTTTATACTATCTGCACTATTATTTTGTTTGTTTTTTCTTGTCATTTTCTGCATCTTCAAGTATATTTCAACACTGTATTTGCGGGGTAAGTGTAAGGTACCCCTACACAGGCCAGATAGAATTATTTCTTAGTGCTCTACTAATAGGTATTTTATACCACTTTTTTTTATATTTTATGTAGTGTGGATAAAAGATATTCCACATTAAATGTTGAGTTGCTGATAACCAATACACTTTATTGTATCACATATTACCTCCCATCAGAGGTAATTCTTTAGTTTCATGACTTGTCCTTTAAGTATAAGAATATGTTTAATCTTGATAAAAAAGGGTTTCCCTCGAGAATGAACATTTGTAGCTTATTGCAAAAAAAATAGGGATGGTCAATATGAGTCCAAAAGTCAAACTCATTAGCTAGTTATTATACTGAAGGTAAAAAAACAAAAGATAATTTTGTTCCACACCCAGTTGTATATGTAACGTGGTTCTATTTGAGAGATTGTATGGCATACTCTTCCCCGTGAACGATATTTTTAGTTATATTGTCAGTTAATTATTCTAGGCTTCTGTTACATTACCACGTAACTCTGATAGGGAAAGGATTCCTTTATACACATCAATGGGGATTAAAGGGTGCCTCCTGAAAGTTGAATGCCAACACTCAAGTCCCAAGTACAGTTTATTTCAGTAGAAATGGATCAGTGATGCTGTCTCTGTAATCTCAGAATTTGATTCCTTCGTATCTTATATTATGTAATCAAATTAATATTGGCACCTAAATTCCATTCCTTCACTTTTACATTATCTCGGGGAGCATAGGTTCTTCTTAGTCATCTACGTAGTTGTTTGCTAAGAGAGTGACAAACAAGCCAGCGCCTTAAACTTCTAGCATTAGTGCCCTGCCTTGCTCTGACTGCAGTGTTTAAGTGTGTTCTAAGCTACGAACAACAAAATTACCTGACAGTGGGAAAGCTCGGTATCTCCAGAATAATGAATCAGGTAAGGATTGGAGTTTAGGCAATGGGTATTTAGTTAAAACTAAAGTTAACGATCAAAATTGAGTTTTGGGATAGGCAAGATGGAATATATTCTCCTAAAGTGTCTCAATTTACTTCCTATAAGATCAAGAAGCAACATCTTATATTTGTGTCCAAATTCACATCTCGTTTTGGGTGTATAAAGGAGAGCAGCAGGAACATAGAAAGCAGAGTCTCTGCAAATATCAGTTATCCTTGCCGAAACGCTCACACACTCACACGCAGAACTAATTTAATTTCAACATAACCAATTCAGTTCTTTAAAAAAAAAAAAGGGAGCCTAGTCTATATTGACTCAGCTCTGGAATTTTTGGGGTGAGTTTGCCCAGTTGCTTTATATATCCCAGATCCAGAATCCCATTGTTTATTACAAGGACTAAATGAGAGAGCTGTTTCGGGCTGAGAAATGGGTTTAAAATTCCCACCATAAGAAAATAACAGGACAATCCTAACACAGTTTCAACAATAATTTAAAATAAATTTACAAATATATTTATGGATTTTCTTCCTAACCTTAACAAACCCCTCTACCCCCCCAAAAAAAAAAAGAAAAGAGAAAGAGGGGGAAAAAAGAGAATTTTAGAAATAATATTAAAATATTACTTTCAACTGTACATCTGTGTGCAGATCCACACGAGTACCCACATTATATAAATGGTTACCTACTCTGTATTACCTGTAAGTTACTACAGCAAACTGTTATTTGTATAATTGTCAAATATGATGTACTCGTGTTTTACCATACCATCTCTTGATGGCATTTCACTGTTTTTAATCGACTTGACTATACTCACATTGTCAAGTTATCTTGAAAATCTTTTTTAAAAAATATTTAAATTTTTTTCGTCCGAACTTTGTTCAATTATGCATTAGTTTTCAGACTAAATTTGGACATTACTTTCATTTTGGAAATTCCATTCGGACTATTGAAATCACGTCGAATGCACAGTTCAAATGAAGAAGAGTCAGTAACACAGCGATAGTGACAGATACAATATTATACTACTAACTCAACTTTCTTTAACTAAATAATAAATATATAAATTATATATATATATATATATATATATATGTCAGTCTGCTCTGGGTGGGTGGATGTCAAATACCAGAAGGTCAAATAGGAAGTGTTGAGAACAGCTACAAGTATCTGAAGGTACCACAGTACCACAAACTTATGGCAACCATGAAGAAGAGGCAAGGACATCCAAGCGACATCCAAATACCTCTGGAGAGTCAGACAGGTCCTGATAGCCTAGCTCAATTGCAAAAACAAGATCCAAGCCATCAACAAATATGACCTACGAGTCATCAGGTACCCAGCTGGAATAATAACCTAGCCAAGAGAAGAGTTGCTCACTATGAATGAAGGATTCAACCCGAAATCAAGCACCCAGAGACTGCAACCAGAAGGAAGAAGGTCTGGGCCTTATGAGTGTCAAGGCCACAGCCCTAAATGAAACACAGAGCATCCACAAGTACATCACAAAGATGAATTTCTCCAATTTCTGCTAGATCCTGCTGCTGCTGTTGCAGTAGCAGGTCCCTGAGACACACCAAGCTGCCACCTGTCAAGGAAAGAAAGGTATGCTGGCCACTAGGTGCACTCCACAAATCTGTAGTGAAATGCACAACTTGACCAGATGCCTTTGAAAACTCATCTTTCACTACTCCAAGACAGGACTAATAGAGTGAGGGGACTATCTTTCTGCTACCCTCAATAACACTCGACTACTAATGGAAAAAGTCGAGAGAAAGGGGAAAACTGCACTAGTTGATGGTGAAAAGGGTGGAATGCTCCCTGAGGAATCTAACTCTCTTGTACTATCTCCTCCTCATCCTCTGGCTCAGACTAAATGCAGTTTCTGCAAGGGGGGTGAGACTGATATAACTGATAAGCACAGACAACAATGGCACTTCTAAAAGAGTAGCACTTGTTCCCTCAGTCTCTACCTGTCTAGCTTCTGGTATGGATGACTTGACTGACTTTGCTTCTCTCTCTCTGGTTATAAGCACTAAGAGGATGGGGTAGTGTTGGCAGTGGAAACAACTCGTGGCTTTTGCCATTGATCCCTTGCTGTTGCTAAAGCTAGGGATAAAACAGAGGTGGGGGTAGGAAGAGCTCATGTTCCACTGAAAGTGGTTCTAGTGGTGGTGGTCTTGGAAGGTGGATCAGAAGAACAGCAGAACACGACCTACAGTCCTGCTGCTAAACTTTGTGCCAAACTTGCTCTGTTTGGCAGCTTCTATTTCCATTTCTTCATGGACAAACAGAGAGAGGTAGCTACTGTGGTAGAGGAAGACGTTGGTAGGAAAACGTGCATCTTTGTACTCACTGGGCTACTACTAGTATTTTTTATTTTTTTTACCAACAGTTAATGCTGTTGTGCTAGCCTTAAAAAGCCCTGCGGTTTCCCTTTCCCGTGGAAACTGCTGGTGGTGCTGGGCCTTGTTGCACTACTGCCTGCTGCTATTGGTGCCTTTCCTTGACCAAAATCTTGCACCAATGGGCCAGAAATTGAATGAGACGAAGAGGTTGGCCTCCTAGGAAGTGAGTTGAACATAGAGGCAAAACTACTTGCCCGACTAAACTGACACAGAGCCTGCGTACTAGAATACTACTAGTAGCAATAGCAGTAGCCCTACTGATGGTGGTGGCTTTCTGAGAGACTATGCAAAACTGCACTGTGTGCCGTGTGCAGTCTGCCAGCAAGTGCATCCTGCAGTACTGCAAACAGAGACACAGTCTAGACCAGTCTTCCCCAAACTCCGGCCCTCCAATGTTCTTGAACTACAACTCCTATGATTCTCAGCCTAGTTCATTGATAGAATCAAGTCCGCCAGCAAGTGCATCCTGCAGTACTGCAAGCAGAGACACAGTTTAGACCAGGCTTCCCCAAACTCCGGCCCTCCAGATGTTGCTGAACTACAACTCCCATGATTCTCAGCCTATTTCATTCATAGAATCATGGAAGTTGTAGTTCAGCAACATCTGGAGGGCGGAGTTTGAGGAAGCCTGGTCTAGACTATCAAAAAATTATTTATTATTAGAAAAATGTAAATTGTTAAAGAAAAAACTGTTTAACTAGACTGACTCATCTAAAATAAAATCAAGTGACGAAAAATAATGTCCTCTCGACTCACAACTACAGCAGAACAGTTCCCTTCACTGCTGATGTTGATGAGAGCAAAAAAATAAAAAATAATAATTAAACAACAGACACAGTTACTTCACTATCCTGTGAAAGTAAAAGGGTGAAACATTTCAAACTTAACAAAACAGACTCTCTTACTAGTGTATTCTGTGCAAACAATGCACAAAGAAGCTGTAATACAAGATGAGATATTAGAAACTTTATACTAGATCCTTAACTTACCCAACTTACCCAACATCCTAAAGGCCTTCAGGGAATTTGGCGAAATTTCCAACTTAAAGATCAGCTTTTCTGAATCCTATATTTTGAATGTCACAACTCCAAGCAACCGCGCTGACCCCTATGCCGTAGCTTCCCGTTCCAATGGTCCGACCATAAAATTTGATTCCTGGGCACATGGTTGACCAAGCGAAGGGGTGATCTATTTAAGGAAAACTTCACCCCCATGCTGGAGACATTCCAGCGGGACATAAAGGATCTCCTTCCTGTACTCCATGCTGCAGGGGGAGACCCCTGCAGAAAAAATGCTGTTCATGGGCAAATGGGAAACAGCCCTACAAAGGACATTCACAGACATGGAGTGGGAGAAGATCTGCTACCTCACACACCACTGTTTAAGCTCTTAGCCAACTGGTACCGCACACCGAACCTCCTACACTTCATCAACCCGGACCACTCTAACATATGCTGGACATGTGAAAAAGAGGTAGGCAACACCCCACACTTATGGTGGGGACTCTGAGAGGATTAGGCCATACTGGGTGGGAATTCATGGCATGTTAGAGATGTTCTCTGGTGCACCAACCCCCTTAGACCCGGCAGCGATGCTCCTCCACCACACGACTACCCCCAGATCCAAATACAAGAAATCTATGACCATTTTAAATGTAGCCAAACAAGCTATACACTGAAATAGGGGCCTGCGAGTCTGCACTGTACTGAACCATCACTTGCCTTTTGCTATTTCTGACCTAGAGAGCTGCGTGTCTCCTTGTTTTTGCTACATGCTTGACATATATGTTCAATGACATGAACTGAAAATAATAAAAATTATATTTACAAAAAAAAAAAAAGAGATACAATTAAAACACAGTCACACCCAGACAGATGAGACTGAGAGAAAGTGAACTATACCAACGCTGCCGCAACAGTAGCATCTCTAAGAGATGAATGATTTATGCGCTTAAAATATCTAAGTATAACAACAACAATACAGTGGTAGAACTAATGTAGAGAGGGCCCTGGTGCAATAATTGTTTTGGTCTCTCTCTACATTTTTCGGTAAAAAGGTAGATCCCCATCTGTCATGCAACTTCCACAATGCAAGGACAGCCTGGGTCTACAATTTGCCAATCTTTGTAGAGTTATATTTGTGAACAGTGTGTGTGTATTTTTGTATAGATTATGTGTGTGCATATTAAGATGTATTTGCATGTACTGTTGCCACTGGAATGCAGTTGTGTACTTGAGTGTAGTGTTATAATTTTTGTGTTTTAATACAGTGGGTGGGTTTGTATGTAAGAATTGTATTTACATGCAGTGGAGTGTTTGGATTTAGTATTGTATTTTAAATGCGCATGACGGATGTACATTCTGTGTAGTATTGGTGTTTGAGTGAAGGGCTGTGTTTGTATATAATTTTGGAGTTTGAATTCAGGGGTGTGTTTGTAATGTTTGTGTTTTGGAAGGATGTGTTTGCATGTTGTGTTGGTGTTGGTGTTGGTTTTTTGGATTGCTGCTGGCTAGGAGGAAGTAACAGCTTCCTTCTAGCTCTGCTAATATCACAGGGACCTTCAGTTATGAAACTATAATCTGGTGTAACAGATCAGCCAATGTGACAGGAAGACACAGCTCCCAAGTGTCCCTATTTAGGATGGACAGTCCCTATTTTGTGCCCAAATCCATCTGTTCCTCTTTTCTATACTAATGACCCTCTTTTCTAGGAGCTCCACATTGTTGGTATGTGAGCTCCTCAGTAATAAAATTCACCATAATGTGACTTTAAAGGGATTCTATAGTTTTAGGAATACAAATCTGTATTCCTAACACTACAGTGCTCTCTGGTGTCCCCACCCGATTCCAGCTCCGATGTTCCTCACCACTGGGTCAGCGATCTGCCTAGTCTGAGGTTTCAGAATCTGTAATGTTTTACATTGCAGGACTAAGGGAGACAGACCACTTCAATGAGATGAAAAGTACAGACAGGTACACATGGTGAGACATTCATTTAATAATCAAGTGGCTTTATGTATCGCACAAAAAGGTGTTTTGCCCAACTCAATCCACGGAAGGGTTAAAACCAAGCAGCTAATGTTTAGTTCGCTATGTTTTGTGTCTAAACTCAATCGAGATAGATTTCCTACAGACACAAACTACAACTAAGGAAACATTTAGTAAAACCTGTTTGGATTTTGTCTGACAACAAATAACGATTTTTTATAAATTGAATTTATATATTCATAAAATTAACTCTCTGTGTCTGAATTTCTACTTGTCTATCAATGTTGTTAATTTGCACATTGCATTTTGTTACATAGTTCATCAGACCAGTTTGGTGCATCCAGTAGATAAACTCTTTTGGGGTTATTCACTAATGTGAGAATTCAAGAAAAATTCAAGGAGAATTTGACATTTAAGGTCAAAATAGCCAAACTGGGGAAGTTCTCTGCCAGCTGTGCTTTCAGATCAGCTACAAACCACGAGGCCCCAGTGCGAAAATAGCCCTGGGGCCCCTGGGGCCCCTGGGCCCCCCCATAGGTCTACCCCTCCCCTCCCCCATACGTAAACCCCCCTTCCCACACACACACATGCAGACAAACAGATACACATACATACAGACACACATACATATATACACAGAGACACATACACACACATACATACAGACATAAACACACACACATATAGAGACACATACATACAGGCACACATACAGAGACATACATACAGACACACATACACAAACACATGCAAAATGTTTTAGTCACCCTCTTGTTTCCTACCTTTAAAATGCGGGAGGGTGACTTTCCTGGGGTCCAGTGGAGGCTTAGGCTGATGGGAGTCCCCACTCTGACTTCCTCTCCTTAATCGAACGATTCCACCGAACAGTGTTCTTCCACGATGTAAAGGAACCGAACGTAGGCGATGCTGGAAGTTCAGCGGTGTTCGCAAGGTTGAGTGTCTGCCTGCGTTTGTGCATTCGAACGGTGGCCACCCAGACGAATAATTAGAACACTGCGGTGAGAATCATTACAAGGTGTCAATAGGGTTTAACAAGCTCCCGGGCAGTCTTTAGTTCGTGGATCTGTTCGGTTTCCGAACAGTACAGGGAAACCACACGAACAGTCTTTTTACATGTTTTTTTACAGGGCCCATAGTCTTTAGGCAGGAGGCTAGCCAGCAGGCTCCTCCAGGAACACGTGTCAGAGGCATCTTTGCCACACCTGAATCTGGCCATCTTCCTGTGGGGGGTTCCTCTTAAGCATGCGCAAGAGTACAGCATTGACGTCTATAGAGGATCCCGCACAGAGACACTGGTGACGGCTGGGGAAGATTGACAGTTTCTAGACGGCGATAGCTATGCCCAGTGTCTCAAAGTTTCAGGCGTTGGAAATATACAGAGACAACTCAGTCCCTACTTCGTCTCAGTAGATCTCTTGACTGGGTTGGAATTTTCAGTAAAATCCCAACGCAGTCAGAATGAGTATTTCATAAAGAGTCTATCTTTATGAAATACTACTATTTCAGGGGGAGGGAGGTAAGTGCCACTTTAAGTGTTGTAATAGCATTTACGATTATATAATTTATTTAGTCTCCCACTAATTACATCATTGTTTTTATTTACTGCACAAATAATTAATATATCACTCTCAAATCTTTATTTTACTGTACATTTAATTTCTTTAAAAAACTGACTAAAGCTTAACTTTGACGTGATCTGGGTTAATTGCTGAACTGTATAAAAGATCAAATTTCAGTCTTTCTCTGTTTCGTGCATGGCTTGTTATCTTTGTGCTTACATGTTTTATGGTCTCAATATATGTGCATTTGTGATATGACAATTAACCTTCAGACTTTACCTATTCCTTTCTTTACCAGGAAGTGGAAATTTCTGCTTTTGATGTCTATTACTGGAAACACAAGTGCATGATCCCTGCGTTCACTTTTTGGTGCATGTCTTTCTTGCATGTCCTTTCAGGGATCAAATTTGATTAGGGGATCCTTGCACAGCCCATTAGAAGCAAACACCTGCCTTTGGGGATTGTTCATTATACTGGAAATTTTGGATATACGTAGACATTTTTACATTGACACTTTTCCACCAAAATAGCTTGGCTAGGAAGTCACTGACTTGTGAATAAGAAGTGTGTTATGCCATCACTAATAACAAGCACTTTCCCCCAAAATTAATATGTTAGTTTGATACCTTCCAAGGACATCCTATGCGCCTGGGCCGCCATTGGTGCGTGACAATAACTAATGTGTATTTGCACAGTGTGTGTATATGGGATGATACATGGGATGGAGCTTTATTAATTTTTTTAATAATTTAACAAGTAAAATATGTATTCCCCTCCTTTTTGTTACTTTGCAGGGATGGGGACATGCCATTTCCAAGTAATCCAGTGGGCTACATTTGCACCTCTATAGGGTGCCCACCATGAATATCTTACGAGCTCTGCCACCTATAGTGTCAGAACATTGCTTTGGTAACCCACGGCAACACTATGATTGGCCGGAGCTCGGGAAACAGATCCCGTTGGTGCAGAGATGAGGCTGTGTGACTGATTCCACATTAGAGTTTACTGTGTTGGTGAAGGAGATCTTTGATCTCACCACCGGTCCATGAAAGGGCAAATAGCACTCGTGAGCTGGCTCTCAGGAAGTGCTGGCGCTGCATGGGCTGGCAGGGGATGATCTTAATTATGATCTCCCATGTTGACCTCTCCAATGGTCCCTATGTTGGCCATCCCCCATGTTGACCTCTCCAATGATCTCCCATGTTGGCCATCAGCCCATAGCCATCTCAACATTTGCCCGGTTTGCCTTACGGCCAGTCCAGGCCTGGTTGAAACTGCCAGGAACTACAGAATCTTCTGTAGATTTTCTCTTGCCTTAGCTGCACTCTGTTTGTTTCTATGGCTTGAGAAGATGCATGTTCCTATCATGTAGTAACATCTGAAAGGTAATGGATACACAGAGCAGAAGGAATCTGGGAAAAGTAGATCACAGACTTCAGGTGTGACAGAATTAGCCTGACCTAGGTAAGCAATCAAGAGTGATACCAGACTATGTCATCTACAAACCAGAAATTGTGTAAAACCCCAAAAACTATGGTATGTGGGTGACGTATACATTTAAGATGTTGCAGGGCATTTTAACAACTCCTACTATTTTGCACCTCTATAGGGTGCCCACCATGAATATCTTACGAGCTCTGCCACCTATAGTGAGAGTTGAGATCTGTATAAAAATGGCCTCTAATATAAATCACCACCCGCTTTGTGTTCAGTTAGCATACATCTGCACAGCAGCCTTGTCTATTAGCATGGTGGATTACCCATTAGTTGGAATTTGCCATTCTCTAGCCCCTGGTTTTTACACAGAGGCTCCATGGGCCCTGTCTTCACCTGAATCTCTGGCTCTACCTGAGTCGACAGGGCTATAAAAAAAAAAAAAAAAATTCTCCCTGCTCAGCCCTGTGATTCCTCACTACCTTAAGGGAGCGGTGTAGTCTGCATTTCTAATGGGTGCAGGTCACTTTAAGAGTTACTTCATGATCCTGGCTCTCGTTAAAGGAACACTCTATTGCCCAAGCACATACACACAAAAATAAAAATTAATAAAACTCACTATTAGTTGTCTGATTGACAGCCAGGGGTTGTAACAAGGTTTATTCATAAAAAGTGTCCATTTCAATTGAAATCTGCACTTTTCGTAAAATGGAAAAGGAGAGCACATTCTTCACACATAATTAAGCATTTCAACAGCTAAAGTGCTTTAATGGTTCAGAGTATCTCTTTAATGGCTCAGAGCAATGCAGCTATTTAGCACAAATACATCCAGGAAGCTCTTAAAGTAACCTGCACCTGATAGAAGTATAGACCACAGTGCTCCCCATTAAACCACCACAGTCCAGCCTGAAAGTGTCCCCCTCCTCCCCTCCCAAATCTTGACAAAAGATAAGGAGGAAGGAAAAAAGACCGGCTATTTGGGAAGATCTCCTTCCACAAACTCAACCACATCTTCCAACACACAGAACACTCAGCTACAACACTAAAAAACACACACACACACACACACACACACACACACACACACACACACACACACACACACACTCTCTCTCTCTATTTCTTGCAGTAAATTGAAATTCTAATTGTACAATACAGGCAAAAAAAAAAAACTCTTTTGTAAGAATTCTCCAATTCAAATAAATTCACAAATTGGTAATTTTAGCCTGAATTTCACAATCTGATTTTCACTTCATCGCAATTTGCTGTTTAGTGAACAGACACCCCAAGGGACCATTAACTAGAATGATTGTCAGGGTTTCCTGTTTCAGCAGAGGCTACTCTCGGGTAGCTTACATTGCAGCGAATAGGAAGGAATTCCGGCTTCAGCTCCGCCCGCACATCAATGCATGAGGTCACAGATCCGGGAGGGGCTCCAACTGATAGTGTATCCGCCTGAGGTTATACACAGAGCGTTCCAACCACAGAATTCTACAGCAATGGCTTATCCTGGACAGCCCGGCGCTGGTTACTACCAAGGAGGGGTAAGGATGAGGGATAACGTGTTTATTAATGTAGATAGAATCTAGAAGATGCAAGCCTACAGAGAGGGGAGAATATGTAAGGGGTGTGATTGGGGTGAGGGGTTGATTGCACAGCATCAAACTATCCATGTTCTGGGTGTATCCTCCCCCCGATCTTGTGTGTTGGGGGTAGAATTCCTGATGTATCCAGATCTACATTGAGTTGTTTTTGTAATCAGGATGGAGGACCAGAGTGCACTTTGGGTAGAAAATAATCCAGTAAATCCCTGGGGTATGGGCTGGGCTGCTTGGTAGTGAAGGTAATTTGTATTTTATTTTTTCCCCTCTAATATTTTCAGGTGCATGGTTAGAAATAATATTATATGTAATGGTGCATAATCCTGTTTACTGACTAATCTCCAGTTTGTTCCCTGCATTGCTAGTCTAAACATTGAACAGTATTTTATTTGAGATCATTCTAACTCATTGTTTATGTTGGTATGCAATGTTTGTAAGGCTTCTAAAGTAATGAGATCTGTTTTCTGTATTACTTTTTATAAGGTGGCTTTGGCAGATGTATTTTACGTCTTCCATTTAATTTACCACCCCACTGCTTCTCAAAAATGCTGGGGGGGGGGGAGGAGGGGGTTGTTAACTTTCTGACAAAAAAATAAATTGGCATCATGCTTGACAAGTGTTGGGTATGCATGTAAAAAAATCTATATTTATTAGAAATGATTCTGTAAAACATTATTAAAAATGGATGGCAGGTTTTTGTTTGTGTTTTTTTTTTTTTTTTTTTTTTTTTTTTTTTTTTTTTTTTTTTTTTTTTTTTTTTTTTTTTTTAAATAGTGTTTAATCTTTACTTGGATATGTGTGTCTCAAGCTCACGATTACTAAAGTTGTGGCCACATAATGATGATGATTATTGGTGATAAAGCTCCCCAATAATGTAACTAAATTATCAAGTTTACTGCTGTACACTGCTCACATAGTCTCCTACAAGCAGAATAGTAATTTCTGCCTCTTGGTCTGCAATGTAGTTGCCACTAGACTAACAAGGCCTAGGTGTTGTGTGGCAGTTTAGAGGAGGGCAACAATCAGGTGATTTTATTATAGTCACTAAAGGCTTACTATGTGCTATTAGAAGGGCTACCGAACCGGTTCATGGATTACAGGATAAACTGTACCAGGAAAGGTTAAAGGATCTTAACATGTATAGCTAGGAGGAAAGACGAGACCTGGGGGATATGATAGAAACCTTTTAAATACATAAAGGGAATAAACACAGTAAAGGAGGAGACTATATTTAAAATAACGAAAAACTACCACAACAAGAAGACAGTCTTAAACTAGAGGGGCAAAGGTTTAAAAATTTCAGAAAGAATTACTTTACTGAGAGGGTAGTGGATGCACGGAATAGCCTTCCAGCTGAAGTGGTAGAGGTTAACACAGTGAAGGAGTTTAAGCATGCGTGGGATAGGCTTAAGGCTATTCTAGATATAAGATAAGGCCAGGGACTAATGACATCAATTAGAAAATTGGGCAGACTAGATGGGCCGAATGGTTCTTATCTGCCGTCACATTCTATGTTTCTATGTACAGTAGCTTGCAGCAAGCCTTCAATTTCTGTCCGTGAAGAATGGCGTGTCAACGTCTCAATCCCAAATTGAGGTTGGGGCCTAAATATTGTGTATATTTTTAAGAGCATATACTAGCATAACGGGAGGGGAGCAGAGAAATAAATGAAGAGAAGGGGGCAGGAGACCGAAGGTGAGTTGGCACCAAAATGTACATGTCCTGGTCTCTCTATCATGCCTAGTTCACCTTAAAGGGAAACTCCAGTGCCAGGAAATCGGTTTTCCTGGCACTGCAGGTCCCCTCTCCCTCCCACCCCCCAACATACTAACCACATGCCTAATATCGTGTATATCCCCCTCGTGCTGCCAAATTCGCCCTGATGCATCGAGGCATGGATTCCACAAGACCTCTGAATGTCATGTGGCTCCAAGACATTAGCAGCAGATCTTTTAAGTCATGCAAGTTGCAATGTGGGGAATCCGTGGATCAAATTCATTGTTCCAGCACATCCCACAGATTAATAATTGTATTGAGATCTACACAATTGGAGGCCAAGACAACTTTGTCATGTTCCTTAAAGCATTCCTGAACAATATTTGCAGTGTGGCAGACATTGCATTATCCTGCTGAAAGAGTCCACTGCCACCAGGGAACACCATTGCCATAAAGGGGTGTACGTGGTCTGCAAAAATGTCTAGGTGAGGTGGTACGTGTCAAAGTAACATCCACATGAATTCCCAGCAAAACATTGCCCAGAGCATAACACTGCCTCGTCCAGCCTGCCATTCTTCCTATAGTGCATTTTAGTACAATCTCTTCCCCGGGTAAACACACACCTGGCTATCCACTTGATCTAAAAGAAAACTTGATTCATCAGACCAAGCAACCTTTTTCCGTTGCTCAATGGTCCAGTACTGACATTAACGTCCCCATTGAAGGCGATTTCGGCAATGGACAGGGGTCGTCATGTGCACTCTGACCAGTCTGCGGCTATGCAGCAAACTGTGATTCATTGTGATTTGACACCTTTTTATCATGGCCAGCATTAAGAATTTCAGTAATTTTAGCTACGTTGGCTCTTCAGTGTGATCGGACCAGGCGTGTCCTGTACTCCTCACATGCATCACGGAGCCTTGGGCGCCCATGACCCTGACACTGGTTCACCAGTTTTCCTTCCTTGTACCACTTTTGGTAGGTACTAACCACTGCATACCGGGGACACCCCACAAAACTTGCCATTTTGGAGATGCTCTGATCCAGTCATCTAGCCATCACTATTTGGCCCTTATTAGAGTCACTGCAAGCTTTTCACTTGCTTCCAACACCTGAAATTCAAGAACTGGCTGTTCACTTGCTGCCTAATATAACCCACCTCTTGACAGGTTTCATTGTAACGATATAATCAATGTTATTCACTTCACCTGTCAGTGGTTTTAATGTTGTGGCTGATCAGTGTATTTGTATAATATATAGACACTATCCTCAAGACGGACCTATACATGTGCGAAATTGTGCGTCTATAAATTATTTATTTTTGAGGCTGGAGGTCTATGCGTGTGGTTTTTGTTTTTGAATGCCCCTGAATTACGTTATTTGACAAATGTTTCATATTTATATAAAGTATTCCTGTACAGTTATAAATCTGTTGTTCTTCAGGGTGTGGTACAGGTTCAATATTCTATAGTTTTGTTTTATTGCACAAATATGTGACTTTCATTGCTAAGGGAGCAAAGGTCACTGAATTGTCAGGAAATAACATGTTGACAGCTATATATTTATATATTATATGTATATATGAATTGAAAGGACATTTCACATTTTTAATCAGCAGCTTATTTGGGAAAATTCATGTAACTATTATTACAAAACATCACTGACACAAATCGACTCAGAATTGCCTTAAAGGGACACTAGTCACCTGAACAACTTTAGCTTAATGATGCAGTTTTGGTGTATAGAACATGCCTCTGCAGCCTCACTTCTCAATCCTCTGCCATTTAGGAGTTAAATCCCTTTGTTTATGAACCCTAGTCACACCTCCCTGCATGTGACTTGCACAGCCTTCCATAAACACTTCCTGTAAAGAGAGCCTTATTTAGGCTTTCTTTATTGCAAGTTCCTCTTTAATTAAGATTTTCTTATCCCCTGCTATGCTAATAGCTTGCTAGACCCTGCAAGAGCCTCCTGTATGTGATTAAAAAGTTCAATTTAGAGATTGAGATACAATTATTTAAGGTAAATTACATCTGTTTGAAAGTGAAACCAGTTTTATTTTTTTTTTCATGCAGGCTCTGTCAATCATAGCCATGGGAGGTGTGGCTAGGGCTGCATAAACAGAAACAAAGTGATTTAACTCCTAAATGACAGTGAATTGAGCAGTGGAATTGCAGGGGAATGATCTATACACTAAAACTGCTTTATTTAGCTAAAGTAATTTAGGTGACTATAGTGTTCCTTTAACCCCTTCGCGACCGAGGACGGTTCAGGACAGTCATCGGCATTTTTGCCTTGAGGACCGATGACGACGGTCCTGAACCGTCCTAACGGTCTGGGGGTACTTACCTGATCGCCGTCGTTCCCCCGGCGGTGATCAGTGTTGCTCCGGTTGTGGGGAGACTGCCTGCAGCCCAGACAGTCTCCCCACACTGATTTAGGAACCCTGTGGCCATGTGATCGCTTAACACAGCGATCACATGGTCATAATAGGTGTCCATAGTGCTGCCTGCAGGGGGACTGTCTGTGCTGACAAGCAGTCTCCCTGCATGTGTAAAATCAGAAAAAAAAAAATAAAGTTAGTGTTAATAATAAATAAAAAAAATTATATGTGTATATAAATATGATATATAGACATATAATATATCTATATAATATATGTCTATATATCATCTATATAATGCCATACTAAGTGTATTTTTATATTAATATGTACTTATATTAATATAAAAATACACTTATAATTAAATTACACACGTGTGTGTGTGTGTGTGTGTATATATATATATATATATATATATATATATATATGTGTGTATATATATATATATATTGTGTATATATATATTATAAAATATAAATAAGTAATTTAAATTAAAAAATTTTTAAAATAATAATAAAAAAATAAAAAATAAATTATATATCTATATGAAATTTTATTCTAACTGTATTTTAAAATTAATATATATATATATTTATATCAAAATACACTTAGAATGAATTTGTATATATATCTATGTATATAAATAAAAATAATAAGAAATATACATATGTCCATATACAAAATTACATAAATAATTATATAAATATACATGTAGACTTCAAATATATAAATATGCATA